AGTTTTACAACAGAATTGTGAAAAAGAAGATTCAGTAGTTGTGCTTCTACTGTCCAGTAAGGTGTTCTCTGAAATAAGAAAGCTGTGGCTCTGCTAATATGATAATGTGACAGTTCTTACAGAAATATTATCGTTCCCAGTGCTCCAATTGGAATCAATGGCAAAATTCTCTGAGATTTAGTGAAGGCTGAAGATGGCTGTTGAGTTTAAGTAAACTTTGTTTGTTCGTTGGGGGTTAAAGTTTCTTATCTGCTACTGTTGAAATAATGACTAAGATCAAACTATACGAAATTGTGAGAAGTAATGCAAATTTTTCTCTCACTTTCTGCTTAATTTCTTTTAGTGAGATCCTCACACCAGTGAAAGTAATGAGAATCTTGCCACTGACTTCAAAAAACTATGTATCAGGAACATTGTGCATTGGATAACTGTTTGTCATTAGCTAAATGTGTATCATATAATCAGTTTTAGTCTTTCCATGGGGAACTCAACTTATTAGTCATTTTTCTCTGCCACTATGGGTCTTACACCCAAAGACAGAAACAACGGCAAATATAAAAGAACCATAACAATTGGCAGAGGCATGCAGATGCAATTGAATTACTTTCAGCTCTTTAAAACAAAATCTGGTTCAATATCAGGTTGTCAGTGTATAATCTGTTTCGGGTTTTTAAAAATGTGCTAAATCACTCCAGTCTTAATCTATGGGTCTGATCCAAATAGACTTAAGTTGATGGAAAGACACCCATTGATTTCACTGAGCTTTGGATCAAGTCTTCATTACTTTATACAGGATTCTGGGCATAGTCAGCTACAAGGAGATTATGAGAACGAAATTCCAGGTCACCTCAGAATATCAGGAATTTGTGACATCTAATTTCTGAAACTTCATGCCACTGTAGAAGCTGCCATCTTTCTAAAGGATTTGACATAGGTTCTGAAGTCAAATATTTCTTTCTGATAATCCTGGTACTTATCAAATCTGTATTTCCTATAACAATTTTTGGTCTTAGCTGAATTTAACACACACAGAGATGAACTGGTATGACTGACAGTGGAATTCAGATCTGGGAAGAACTTAAAGTATTGGCTTCTTGGCTGAAAGAACAAAAGTGAAATGCTAAGTTATTGTCCTCTTGGTTCCTTCTTAGGATATATAACTGCCTACTTCAATAAATATTTTACTGTTTTATGAGGCTAACATGCCACAAGAAACTAGAGAATGACAAATGACAAGCTTATACAAATAAGCCTATGGCTGTACTGTTATATGAAAGTTATATTTAACAGAGCATGAATAACTGATGAATATTGGAAATTGCTGTAAGAGCTTGGACTTTATAATCACAATGTGAATTAGCTAACATTCCTTGTTAGAATGCATTACTGGTATGCATTACATCTAAATACCAAAAGGGAATACAGTGTGGAAATATGTGTACTTATAAATATAGGTACAAATACATATATATTATATATTTTTATGTAAGCCAGAAGTCAAGGGAGAGAGAATAAGTTAACAAGTATGAGATTTCCTTTCTTTGTTAGGTGAATGATAGTTTTGTTATTTTTGTGCAGTCAGTCAAAGGTAATTTTCTTCTAGAGAAGGTGAGAATTTCCATTAAGGTAGAATAAGATAAAAATAAGGAATGTATATGGTATAATAAATATATAGTATATTCTATATAGTATAATAACAGCATACTTATGACAGATACATATGTCATAAGCACAAATATTCATAACAATCATATGTTGGAAGCCTTCTGTACTTTCCCATGGGGTATGTTGCTCTGAGATTGATCATGTAGACATGCTTTTCTCCCTGTAAAACAGTCATGTGTATACAATATTACATGTATTCAGCTGCAGAAGATTTTTTTTGCATTACCTGTGAGAAAGCCAGCAAGCACTGAAGCGCCCATCTGAGGCAAGCTACTTCTGCTAGTGGAAGAAAGAAAAGTAAGATGCACATGTAACTCCCCTTTCTAAGTGAAATGTTACGCAGAGATGGACTGTCTCAGGAGCTTCATAGAGGAGACTTTGTGTCAGTCGGATATTAGCTGTGTTTCATGAGTCTGTTATGCTCTTGTTTAGGGAATAAGTGGTCCTTAAGGCACAGCGGACAACTCGTCAAAGCATCCCACATATGGCCAGTTTCTGGGCAAGGGTGTCATGACTCTGCCTCTTCCCATATATCCCTCTGTCTTGCAAAATCTTACTCTGGCAGGACAATGGCGTGCCTATGTCAGCTGTAACCTAGGGACCCCCAATACAAGAGGGTGTTGTCAAAACATGGGGCAGTGAGGGGTAAAAGTCCATCTTGGGGTGCCCATCTCCGTTCTGCACGGCTGCATTTGAGACTCTCACTGGTCCAAAAGCCTTGTCTGCAGCTCCCTCACTGCACTTCTGCTGCTCTTTTTTGCTTGTTTCTCCAGCTTTTCATACACTTCCTATCAAACCATTTCTAGAAAGTAATTAGAAGCAAAGATCAGCCAGCCTCCTGATGACCATGGAAGAGGATGATGCTATGTAGACGGAAAAGAGCAGAAGACACACTGAAAACTAGGATTACCTAAGGGGCTAAAGTAGTCAGGCGTCCGCAAGGCAGAAGTGCTCTCAATAGCTGGACAACAATGAGAACAAGGATTTGAAGCATGAGAAGGAGAAAATGATGAGGTGCCTGAGCACCTGGTAAAGGCCAGTGAGACTGGACAGAGAAAGAAGGGAGGGACAGAGCAGAGAACGAAAGAAAAGCTTGTAAAGGAATACAGGCAGTGCAGGGGAACTTTAGAAATACATTTCCTGCATTAAGCAGAATTTCAGAGTTCAGAGGACCTTCTAAATGTGACTTTTCCAAGGAAGTAGGTGCTCTGTTTTGGCAGGAATTGAAGCTATATGTGCCCCAACAGAAGAGGAAATAGCTCTCAAGATAATACATATATAAAAAAGTGGTGAATACTGTGAGAAAATTTCAGCTACTCCAGAAGAGAGAAATCTAGTAATTTTTCAGTCCACTTCAGAGGTGGAACAAGTGGTCAGTGAAATGAAAAACACTATAAAAAGTATTTCCTGATATAAGATTTTGCCATCGAAAGCTTATTTTGTGTATTAGTGTAAGCTTATTTTGTGTATTAGTGTAGAACATACCAATTTTTAGAGATCAATGCAATGTTTCCTTTTATATTGTTTATAAGCATACATAATATTATAGCATTATTTTAAGTAGATGGTGAAAGTAGAAGTCACTTAGCAACAGCTTAACTGAATTATACTCCTCCCAGTTATTCTTCAGGATGGGAACTTTGTAATAGAAATGTAACTGGTAATTAAAGAATAAGGTTGGCTACTAAGAGTTCTCAATATTGACACAGTCACTAGTAGATTACCAATTTTTCTCCTGTGATCACTTTCGATTTCCTTATTTAAAAAAGAGAAATTAACATGTACAAACATGTTAAAGGGCTCCATTAATAATGTTTGAAATATATTTTTTTGAACCGGGAATCAAAATGGCTATGAAAATAATATGCATAATCAGTAAAATATATTGTAATAAATAATATATTTGAAAAAAGTCAGGCAAGCCAAATGAAACCTAATACACCAAATTTCATATACTAGTAAATATTCTCCTCAGAGAGACCAGTTGCAGTACATAATAAGGAACGAAAATGTACTATAGTACAGAATCTAAAAAAATCTCATTTCAAAATCTGAGCTGTTATTAAGCAGTGGTAGGCTGCTTAATAATACCACAATTCTCAAACCTTAAGAGTTTTAGTATATCAGTGATGTGAAGTGCTGCGTCCTCTACGCTGCTAGGATACGTTGTGTTTGAGAACTTTATGCAAATCTAGAAAAACCCTGTAAGCAATTGTTCTGTGCAAGTAAAGAACTATTTGAAGTGAATAAGATTGTTTGTGTAAAAGTATATCTGATATCTAAAACAATTGCAGTTTCTTTTTGCTTATTGTTTCAAGTAAAGACGCATGCAGCTGAATGTTGCCTATGTTCACTGACTTTTTTATGCTCTTTCTGCCCTACTTTGGCTTTCTGTATTATTCCCCTGAAATCTCCTGGGTATGCTTAGCAGTTTGATTATGTATTGTGTGTCTGCTGAAAGTGCTACTTACTTTCTCTGTTACTAGAATATTTGATGTTGCTTTGAAAATGAGTGTTTCCCTAATAAGGTCCTTATAGAGTTGAGAAGCAACTTACAGCATTTTTTCCTCACCCCCACTTTTTTGAGTAGGCTTAAAAAATTCTTTGTAAAGGGCCAGACATCTATTACATTAACCAGCAAACTTAGCTTCCACACAAGAGTCATTTCCTAAGAAACTTTTTACGTTTCTAATATTTTCCACGAAATACTCTTGATTTCACCCCTGTTAAACTATGAAGACGTATACTATGAGGGCTTTGTTTAGAAAAGCAGAGATGATGTCCAAACTGCTTGAAGAAACATAAGAAGATTAATGGTTGAGTTCTGCCTGCCTCGCAGATTCTCACCTCCCGAATCAGTGTGACCGAAACACAACACAAAGATGACATATATTGACTCTGGGGAGGGAGCAGCAATTACTTGTCTTATTATTTTCCATGTCAGGCAAGTAATAGAGCAATATTGTGCCAGTGCAAGAAGAAATTTCTAGCTTGTCTGCCCTTCAGCTTGAAGAACTGTTGTGCACTCTTCTCACGGATGGGTAGATATTTGAAAATCAGGGCCTTCCTGCAAAGAAGGAAGGAAAAATGTCTAGATTTTCTGCTGGATTCAACTTTGAAACAAGGGAAAATATGAGGAGGTATAAACAATGCTCAGTTTCTGTATTAGTGTGCATCCATGGAAGTGGCCTGTGGATCATCAGCTCCGGCAAAACTGTTTGGACGGGTTTATAGTATAGCTTTTCTCCCACAAGACAATAGCAATATTGCTTAATGTTTATTTAGTCATTCTCAAATATCTGTACTTGTTGCCTTTTTGTTTGTTTGTTTCATAGATATATTTACGATTCTTGGACTATGAGATGCAAAATTCCAATGAATGCAAAAGGAATTTTGTGGCTGTCTATGATGGAAGTAGCTCAGTGGAGGATTTAAAAGCGAAATTTTGCAGCACTGTTGCTAATGACGTAATGCTGCGGACAGGTCTCGGTGTGATCCGCATGTGGGCAGATGAAGGCAGTCGAAGCAGCCGATTCCAGATGCTCTTCACATCTTTCCAAGAACGTAAGACTAAGCTCTGTATCCACCTTTCAGTTTGTTAAATGGTATAAGTCCCATAAACTGTTAATGTTTTCTTCATGCAGTGTAAGCACAGAAGGATGTTCCTGAACAAGCTATGTAAATCACCGTAGCAGTTTCTATTCCATGCATTTTTATAGTCTGCAATAATTTGTGTGCAGGATTCAGAGACAGGAGGGCAGGATATCAGTATGCACAATGATCTGGACTTTTAGCTGATCCCCAAGCTTTTGGACCACTCTGTGTCTCAATTTTTCCTTACACAATGTAGAAGACAGTGCAGCTTAGGAATTTTTTTTGTCAAATCTTGTCCTTTATTATGCATTCATTTTTTGAGATCTGAGTGTGATAGGCACTTGAAAAGTCCCTTATGATTATTTTCTCATGGATGATAGATGTGTTTGTGCATGTTCCAAAATGCATATGACTATAAATATATACGCCAGATCTTGTTAAGCAAGGAATTCAGATTAATTTTTTGGAGTAATGGAAGTTATCTGAAAACTTTACACGGCATTTTGGTTTGCAAACTTAAAATTCACATTATGCACCTTGCCTGCATTCATGTGTTTACGTATTTCTTGGACTCAGATAGTAGACAAAGTAGCCTTTGATGGAAACAAAAGGTAGTTACTGCCAGACATACTAAAAAACAGTAATCTCATCCACTGAAAATGATTGATTAGGTTAATCAATTGTGAAAGACATCATTTTGTTTTTCTTAATGGAAATAATGCATGTTTGGTCTCTTTATTTACACATGCTGATTCATGTTCATTTTTAATGCATTTTTTGGTTTGTGCATCACACATCTGTCAGGAAGATTTCTGTGTGGCTGTCAGTGGTTGGAGTGAGTGAAGGGGCAATCTTACAAACATCTTCTTCATTTGTATTCTGTGTGCACCCTGCAAGGAGGCTGTGAGACTCTGTTGAGATCAGCTTCTGTTATTCCTTAATTATGACTCTGATTAAAAATTTCTTACTGTCTACATGCCTGAAACTGTATATGCCACTATATTCCCCCTGTAGCCTTAGCATGGGTCGTATTTTTCTTGTCTGTAAATCAGGCCAGGGTCTAACAGATAGTGAGAACCCTCAGTTGAGATGATAGTGCCCCTTTCTCGTTTCTGAAACTGGAGATGTCTTGAATATTCAAGATCTGATTCATTTTTTTTTCACAAGGCATCCTGATCTGTTACCTTAGAAACAACTGCACAGACACTGGAGGTTCACAGCGTATAAAGAACTGGCAAATGAAGCACTATGATGACTAACTTGAAATGAGCTTTTGAATAAGTGCATGCTTGCAAGGCTTTCATATTTTGAAGGAAAGCAAGGAAAAATAATGGTTACTATTTTTCTCTTACAGTAGTCTTAATACATTTACCTGACATACTACAACTGAAGAGCTGTCCTGTTCTTGTAAACAGCTGATAGTTTATATTACACAGTATTCTGACTGGGAGGTTGAAAATCTTAATGTAATGTGTTTTCTGTAAATTTCTTCTGAGTGGTTATTGCATGCTAAAAGCTGAAAAGTTATTAAGGGCTTAATGGTGCTTTGAGACACACATACATGACCTGTTCATAAATTTTAGTGAAAACTGCATCTGTATATTTAAAGCTGGAATTCGACTCTAAAGATTTAAAGGCGATGCTGGTTGTACCTTCTGTTATCTCTAACTGTGAAAACAGGTGCTGCCTCTCAGGAGTCAGGGGGAGCAGATCTCCAATGTGCACCCAGCAAGTAGCATGTAAATTGTGAAGCCTTTTGGCAGCTTATGGGAATAATTAACTCATCTGCATGGAAGGGAAGGAATGTGAGTTTTCCTAGTCAGACATCATTCGGGGAGGTGAGCATTAGGGAACAGACACCTGTGTCTCAACTCAGGGACAAAGAAAGAGAAAAAGCTATTGTATTCACTCACAGCTGAGAAAGAAAAAAAAAATAGAAGATGATATTTATGTTTTGGTTATGTGCATGTGAAAGAGAGACAAAGTGCTTGTAATTTCTGTTGCTGTGAGAGGAGTGATCAGGAGGTACCATTATGTATAGCTTCCCAGTTTCATTTTCTTCATGTCTTAGTCTGTAGAATTAAGTTCTTGGTACCCTTAGTACCAAGGGTACCAAGGGTACCATTAATTAGCATGAGGAACTTTTCCTTTTGATATAGGTCTATTCAGTGTTAATTCTTGAGATACAGCTGTTATCTTGGAATTGGACATTTGTGTAGAACAGAGAAACCTTAAAAACATTTCTTATGTGATTCTTTTTATAGGATGTGATCAATGTATTCCAACACTGTCAAATACATATACAAAGAAACAAATTACCTTTGAAATATGGCCATGTCTGCCTTTTTGCCCTTTAAAAAGTGGTCTTACAAGTTTCCAGACCTCCAGCGGCAATGCTTTACAGAGCAGCAGTGCTATAAATGTCTGAAGAAAAAATAGGCATAGAATGAAGAAAGTTGCTAAATTTACTACTCCAGAAAATCAGTGATGATTCTCATGTGATCAGAATAGTAGTAGACCTCTAAGTAGCATTTAATAATGAATTAATTCTTAATAGCTGATAATTTATAGGAATGATCAGATATTTTGTGAGCAGCGTTATTAGCTATTCCAAATGTCGTTGTGAGTTTTGTCAGTTTAAGCCCTTGTCTTTTCAGTGTTTTATATGTTCTCTAAGCATATATATTTACTTCATATTTTTGTGTGTGGTAGTCACCGTCTGCAATAGATTTTGAATATCTAATCAATTAATTTAAGAATTAGAATGATACGAGCCAAAAAAAAAAGCTGGTATCAGGTTATCATCAAAAGATGTTTATTCATCTCTTAGGAAGATCTGAAAAATGAATGTTTTCTCACCCACTAACAGTTCATTTCATTTTCCATGATTCTGACAGTGATCTCCAAGCTGATTAATGACAGGCATGCTACACCTACAGCTTCTTCAAAGAGCTGCTTCTGAGCAGACACACCTACACTGTAACCCAAAAGCAGATTCTTTGAACCTGGGCATATGGGATAAGAGAAAACCCCCCTGTGTGCACAGCAGACGTGATGTTCATCCCCTCACCTCTGACAGCTATTTGATGCTACTGCTGCCCTCTCTATCCATAATCCTGCACCCTGAAAATATTCCCAGTGGCAAGGGAATCCCTCTCAGCCAACTCACATCAGAAAATATCATTTCTTCATCTCTTATTTCATTACCACTTTGAGCTCCTAATCTGTTTTTAAAGCCCTGTCACATGCAGCTTTTTTAAAGCAGCACAAGTTCTATCATTCCTATTTCCTTTTTATAAACCCAACCCATGCTCCAATGGAAATGTAGGGCTCTGTTTAGTGGAGCAACGCCCAGCTTTACAGAGTAACAGCACAGTCCTTGTTTATAGCCAGCTTCCCTGATGATAATCATCCAAATGTGAGGGTAAGTCTCTAACGGGGAGAAGTCACTGTAGGCACTCAGTATTAATGACTGTGTTTCTTGTGGTAATTCAAACGGAACAACTGAGAAAGGGAACAATGTGATAAGTGATAATGTGATAGGCCAAGTGAGAGAGAGTTTCCACTTGGAAGGACTTAGGAGTCTAAGCAGATGATGGTCTTGCTGTCTTTGCTCCCTGCTTCCACAATAGTACACTAAAAAAGAAACCATTGGAATTGCCTCCTTAGTTGTCAGCACTCATCTGTGATTTTCTGTCCTTCTGTGCTGTTTAAGCCTACCAATAGTCAAAAAACCCTGACAGTCTAAGCATCCCAGTGTCGCTCTGTCCCTGAACAAAATAACTGTCTGTGCTGCTTAGAGCACATAAACTCAGTCCAGCATGGGGATTTGAACATGTGCCTTAAACACATGCTTCTAAGTGGCCATTCTCTGTCGAGTTCATATTTTAAAAAATTATCAAATCACCTACGTATGTTTTTTAAGGTTAAACTATTGACGTGTACCTCGTATTAACTCTCAATCAAAGTTATTTTCATCTTGAACAGAGCTGTTTGAATGTGGCTGAGAAAGAACATTCAATATTAAGAATGTTTATTGCCAAGCTCCTGATAGCTGCATTTTTAATAGTTCGTTTTTGGTTAGTGGCAAAGGGAAAGATAAGTAATTTTACTTTAAATAACTTGGTTATAGTAGTATACACTACTTAAACTGTTTTAATTATTTTAAAATTTTAATAAAGTAAGTGAAAGTCTGCTAGCATAACTGATGGACTTTTCCTTAGAGAGACTGAGAGAAAGCTTCTTCCTCTGTTTCAAGGATGATACAAAGAACACCTAAGGATTTTCGTTTTTATTTCTCTCGTGGACAACGTTCAATGAAGTACCATGTAGACATCCCAACTAGCTTGCCCAGAGCTAGTTCACATTCCAGAAGCAATGGAGTTATGTTAACTTTACACAGCGCTGAGGTACAGTATAAAACCACCAGGAAAAGTCCCGCCGTGAAGCAGAACAGCCAGGCTTCACACAAAAGGCATATAAAAAGTCAGCTTTTGACTTTACCATATAAAAATATTTTTACCTGGCCATGCTTGTGTTTTACACCCAGGGTATAACACGGCAAAACTGTGCTCTACACACACAGAGATAATATACTATATTACTAATATCATAACATTGCAATAGCATACAAATTATTAATAATGTACAGACTGTTTAGTTGCTAAAGTGCTAGAAGAGCAATGTCATATCGGTATAAATATTATAATGTTATTTTATAATAGAAATATACATCTCTATAGAGGATATATACTTGTGTAGAGGATTATTTATTCTACTGTCTCAGTGATGGCTTTTTTTGGAAAAAATATAAAATATGTCCACTTGTATTTGATCTTACTTTGTAAATATGGCATATGGAAGAACTATTAATGCTATTTAAGTTTCTCTGCCTTAGGGTGATTCAGGATTAAAAGAATTTATGATCATTCCACGTTACTTGATACCGAAGTATAGATGATTGTTTCCAT